TTCTCCAAGTTCTCAAAAAATAGCCACTCCCAGACTGCACACAACAGGAGGACCACCTTGTTGGAGCTGAGTTTTGGAAATGCTCATTTCTGTGCACATACTGGGCAGAGAAAGGTGACAACTGAGAGTGACACCCTCCTAAATTGTCACCAAGATATATTATTTCAGCATATGTTTATGTTAGTAAACAAAATTATCAAGCTCTTGTCTGTTAGAGCCAAGAGCAAGTAGTATGATATGACTTCTAATAAAACAACTAAAATCTACCCCTCTTTGGTGGGTCTAGCAAAGTCAGCACACCCTCCTATTCCAAGGTGGCTTCATCCAAGCTGCACATGGCAAATCATGAAAATTCTTGAGTATTCTTGAGGTGTTTTCTTGGATTTTTATTTTTTTTTCAGTAGTGAAATACAACTCTCCTATTTTTACAATCTTTTCCCTACAAGCCATGGAAATGGAAATGTGAACTTAGAGTCATACATAATTTTCTGTTCATTCTCTAGGCAAAGTTTAATTAAAAATTATGTACATCTGGCAACCTCAGCAATGACATAAATGGAAAAGAAAAGTTCTAGAGACAAAATACCCACCTGTGGCAAATAAACCAGTCTATTTGATCAGGTCTCCTTTATCAATAATGTTTATAAAGAAAGGTTCATTGAGGCACACTTTGAAGGTGAACAGAAATTGAATGACATGGATTAGCAAGGAATATGTGTAAAATTGGCACATGAGAGGTCTTTTTTCACAGGTTGGAATAGGTGTTTGAGCCTCACTCCCTTGCCTGGCTTGAGCCTTGACAAGACAGAGCTGAGGTCAGGTCTCTTACAGCCCACATGAAAGCATGAACTGCCTCTCCCTAGTATCACAAAAAAAAAACATTTCACATTGTCATGACAACACAAACCACTGTTAAGCCAGATAGGAATATAATTTAGTTCCTCTTTCACTCCTTGAACAATGTTAAATAATTTTGAGTAAATCAGATCTGGCTCCAAGACAGAAAACACAGTAACACTCTTCCCACACAGCACTGATAGGATATAGCATCAGGCAGGCCCATCATTTCTCTCTCTCCCCTTTATTTCATGCCAAGTTCTTCTTGATCAAGCAATGATGTAAAATAGTGAAACAAGAAAAAGTTGAAGATCCCCAAAGGAAATCAAGTGTGTGCTGCAGCTTGCTGTTTTTACAGTCACATTTGTCTTTTGGGCACATTGGTACCTGCAAGTGCTCCATTTACTTTTCAGGGAGAAAAAAAACCCAAAACTATATGACTGTTTCCAGCAATTGCACTTAAGAGCCACTTTTAGTCAAGAGTTTCTGTTTGGCTCTAATGCTTCCAGGAAACATTGTTCTGTTTGCTTTCAATGGCAAAGGAAAAATAAATTAATAAATGGCCCCTCCAAGGTTTTGTCTAGGAGAAAGGATACACCCTTCAGAGCAGGGAACTGAGCACAAGCTGAAGGGAGAAGAGATTAAATGCAGGGATCAGCTGTAATTGATAATGGTCCTTCTCATGACCTTGCAAATAAAGTCGAAAGGAAAAGATGAGAAAGAGGTAGACATTTTCTAGAAGTGCTATAAAAAATGGGCCAATATTATCACTACACTGATCATTTTCCACCAACTTCTCAATTCCTGCTCTAAGACAAGAATAGAAACAAAACAGAGGAAAAGGCACAATGAGGGCAGCTCATGGCAAACTTTAGGGCATGACAGATCAGGAAGTTCAGGAAATCATGAGCAGGGGAGTGTATTGAGTTTGTGGGGTTCTGGTTTTATCCAAACCTATAAACTTGATAACAAAATTATTGAAAAAAGTGAAAACCTCTCATTCAAACAGGAATGGCTACAGGGCAGTAGGGCACAGAGTTCAACCAAGGTGAAACAAGAATTAATCCTTCTAAGTGCTATTAAAATCCACAAACCAGTCACCTCGTGTGTCACTTCCCTCCATCCATTCTGTGTTCCTGTGTTTATTTTGTGCTCTGCCCTTACCAAATTCTGGACTATACAGTAATTTATCACAGAATTACAGGCAGCAGGCCTGTAAGGAACAGGAATGGCCACGGGCAGGCATCCATGGCTACTTGGGAGTGGTCAGGAGTGGTCCAGATCCCTGGAAAGTTTTACTTTCCAATAGCAAAGGGGAACCTTGAATTCAACAGGGATTGAGCCTTCTCAGGAACATCATTCATAGCCCTGCCTGGCAAATTAATTTCAAGAACCTAAAGCAAAGCAATCCCATAGATGGTTAATGCCTAATTAGCAATTAATCTATTTAAGCCGAGATTCTATTTCACGATTCAGCTTTGGAAAGTTATAAAATGATACATTTGCCTCCAGGAAGAATTCTGGGCTAATTTAGGTAATATCAGACAACTTATATACAAAAAATTTGGTTGTGTCAAGGGCATCAAGCTTGAATGAAACCCAGAACCATTCTTGACACAAATGTTTGCACACAGATGTTTACACAAGCCCAGGCTCTAACTGAATCATAACATCCATATTCCCAATATAATTTATTGTGTGATACTTGGCTCATCCAAACTTCAGCTGGGTAAAAACAGCAAAAACATTGAAATACGATGAGAAACTCTATATTTGTATTATTGTGTTATCTTAATTTTTAAAAACATTAAGCTGTGAATTGTGACTGGTGCAGCTGGTGGATATGGAAGGACAATGGAAGCTTCCTGGAGTGCTGGCTGTCATTATGTTAGGTTTCAATTGCCTTTCTTTCCTTGCACGTGTTAAAAGTCTATGTAGAGTAAAGCAAGGTGAAATCTAAAATTAAATTTACAGCAGTTACAATGGGGAGGCGGAATATGCATTTCATTCTAAAGACAGGTGGGTAAAGTTAGGGCCCAAATCTCCCTAGATTGTCCATAGAGTCAGTGGAGCAACAGGGGTTTCTCAGGAATGAATCCAAAGCACCTTCCTCAGGATTTTTGTAAATTGTCTTGTGTTGGAATAAGAAGAGGATGCTTTGTCACCTGTGCAAACCACAGAATGGGAACAGCTGCACACTCCTGGGATGGTAACCTGCACTCAGGAAAAGCAAATTGGATCATCTTTGCTTTGCTCAGCTTTGCCCAGGGAAAATTTGGGATATTTAGGATGTCCCATACAGGCATTGACACTCACGATCCTGGATTTGGGAATGTTTCCTTGAGCTTTTTCCTTTACAGAGAGTGTGGGTGTTTGGGATGCTGTGGGACTGAGACCATGGTAGAGGGTTCCTGGATAATCCTGGGAAGCATCCAGCCTTTATCATCTTCACTCAGAGGGTAGGGAGGCCCTGGCACAGGTGGCCCTGAGAAGCTGTGGCTGCCCCATATCTGGAAGTGTCCAAGGCCAATCTGGATGGGGCTTGGAGCAACCTGGGGGAGTGCAAGGTGTCCCTAGGTGTTCCTAGGGTTTGGAACTGGATGACATTTAAGCTCCTTTCCAATCCAAACCATTCCTCTGGCTCTGGTCCAGGGCGTTTCCAGATGCCTTCTGTCCTACTGCAGTTGCCAGAAACTGATGCCTTGAGAAGGCAGAGGCTGGACAGAGCAGACCCACACACTAAAGCAGCACAGAATCTGAAAATATAAAAGCTGAACCCTGAGGCATCACTAGGATTCTATGGCCTTTTCCTGTTAGAATATGTGACAAACAGAGGTTTGTGCCCAGGGAATCTCCAGGGCTCAGAGAACCCCTATAGTCCATGGATCAGGAGCTCTCAGTGCAGACATCACAGGAGCTGGTTGAACAGCCATGTCCCAGGCTGGCTTTGTCAGGGACATTCTGTTGAGTTTCTGGGCAATCACATTTGCCCACTTGACACTTGTTAGCAGTTTCGATACTTGCTGCTTCATGCCTTTAATTCCTTTGCTGGGTATGTTTCAACTATTTTAATGAGCTGGTGATAACTTTGAAGGGTGCTTGTCTAGCACAAAGCAAAACCATTTGTGCCAGGAGTGGGAGCACCATTAGCAGCCATGGCCTAAATCCCTGCTCTCAGTTCGGGGTCTAAGTGCTACAAAAGCACTTTAAAATACACCATTAAGCTTCTCTTTATTTTAGAAGAATGGAGGGGTTTAAGCCTGGAATTCACCTTAAATACTTTTTTTTCTTAAGAGCTTTATTGTAAATTGTTTAAACATTGTCACTATGAATACAAGGTCTAGTGGAAATAGTCCCTGCCCACAGTAGTGGATCAGAATTAGATGGTTTTTTAAGTCCTTTCCAACACAAAACTTTCAATGATTCTGTGATTCTATGAAATACACCAACAAATCACACTTCATTTACTTTGATGTGGGTTTGGTGGTTTGGTTTTTTTGTTTCTTTTTTCACTAGTGTATTTTTCTAGTGTAATTATTGTACGTCTTCAATCTATCCTATTTATTATTTTAATGAACATAAGCTAGAGCAGCTAATATGGTGCAGTTCTATCACAAACCAAATGGAAAGAGAGTGGTTTTTGTCTTCGGCCTTTGGACTTTGAAGCATAATAAAAATAAGCCAAGTTCTTTGCAAGGTGTATGCGAAGGAACAAATTGTGAATTTCACATTTTTTTGCACCATTAACTCTTAAGTTACCTGAAATTTGTCAAAATAAACTATTCACTGTGAGTGAGTTCTGCAACTGTTCCGGCTCTCTCTCTCTGGCTCAGACATTCTGTAAGGTAAAAAAGGGTTAATTTGGAGTCAATGGAGGTACTGGGAAAACAGCAGATAAAATTGGAAAGTTATTCTAGAAAGTGGGTACAAGATGCTGGTTCTCTGCTTCGTTTCTGAGTATGATTTGGAAGGGTTCACTTCCAGTTGAGGGTCTGCTTTGCCTGCCATAAAAACAAAGAACATTCCTTTCCCTAAAGGGAAGCACCAAGTGAAGAGTGGAAAAGTAGAAATTGGCAGTCTTACAGGTGGGCACTTGAAAAATGGTGAAGAAAATTAAATTGCATTACATGACATATTAAAAATGAAGAATCATGAACAGTTTGTATGTTAGCACAACTGATTTTTTTTTATTTTTAAACCACCCCAAAATCCAATCATGCTCTATGTACATAGGCAATACATGGGATAGCACACCAAATGCAGACAAGAAAGATAAAATATATTCGGGTTTATTTTGCTGGTATTTTCATTTTTATTCTTTTTTTATTGTTCAACTGCTCAAGTTGATTAAATGATCCAACCCATACAGATTCCTATGCCAATCCTACCTCACCTCCCAATCCCACACTGTCTCTCAGAGAGGAGAATCCATCCCATTACCTCTGGGGGGTTTTGCTGAATGATGGAGTGTACTGATTTTCCATCAGTTCCTCTGGGCCTCATTTCTTATGGAAAATTATTTACTGCAGAACAAGTGTATCAGCACATGCCTGCTTTAACTATGTTCTATAGTTAGTAGGTAAGATCAGCTAATGCTTTGGGTTACTCAGGAAATCATAAGTAGCACACACACACACAAATTTAAACAGAAAATAGTCTTCCACATCATTTAGAGTTAATTTTCTTTCTCATTTCCAGTGTCGTTTATTTTGCTAAGCACTGCTGCAATTCTTTCCACTTGTCTTTATGCTCTTATTTTCTTACAAAACAGTACACTAGGCTTTCTGTATAAAACATATATATAAACATTTATATATATATATATATATAAAAACAAAGCAACCACCCCCAAAATGGACTTACAGGTATGTATTTGTCCCTCATTAGAAAATATACCGTGTGTTCATCTGTTTGTGGTCCCTGAATGTCACAGCGCTGGCTGTTGGAATAGGGTCAGAGAGAAAGGGGAATTCTTTTCTCCTTGTTTTGCTTTAAATCACATGATAAATTTCACAAGGTGAACAAATTCAGAGTAGTCACAGGAACCATCAGATCCTGTTTACACATTGACACCACATCGCTCTTGTTGCCATTGTTGCTACTCTTCAATTTGAATTCTAGTTATTACTTCCCAGGAGTTAATATATCTACATTTTTTTTTTTTTGTCACATATATTCTCTCCTCACAAGCAGCTGGATGCAGGTTCAGGGAGAATGAAACACTAGAAAGTCTGAAAGATCCTGTGACTCTGGAAATTCTTACCCTGCCTAACTTTCCTGGCCCTCTTTCTCAAATATGATCAATAATTTAGAAAATTATGGGTAATTTTACATAGGAAATAATCTTTAGTAACCTTTCCTTACAAAAGAGGCTTTTGGGTACTGATTTGAAATTGGGTTTTTTTCCCCATTCATTGCTGGTATTAGATGCCAGCCTTGCATTTTTGTATAAATACTGTTTTTTCAAGTGTAAGGCCTCTGTTATTGGTCTCTGTTATTGGACAGATGATTCTCTGTCCTCAATATCTATTCTTTCAGGAAACAAACTGGTCATTGGAACTATTTATTACTGAGTTCTCTGGTAGGAGAACCCCCCATGCTAAATACACCTCAGAATTGGGTGGTACCAAGGGAAGGGTTAAACTTCAGCCCAATTTATTTAGGTCATGCAAAGGTGACCTAAATAAACTTCACCCAATTTTGTTTAGGTCATGACTTCTCAACCTAAAGACTCTGTAATTGAAAAACCCCAGATATAAAAAAAAAAAAAAAGGAAAACTGTATTGAATTAAAAAAAAAAAAGTACTGCTTGCTGGTTTACAAAGAGTCTATAACACTGATAAAATCTTCGGTTTGGTGGTTTGGGCTTTTTTTTTTTTTGCTTTTTTTTTTTTTTTTTTTTTTTTTTTTTGCTTTTTTTTAGCCTCTCTCCATGCCCTTCTTTATTTTGGCTTCATTTCAACCCGGGAGTTCATGTCATCCCCTTCCAGGTCATACTCTTCTACTTGGCCACTGGTCCACACCTTCATGCGGTCGGTGAGGTCGCTGGTTCTGGGAGCCAGGATGAAGTCATAAATCAGGGCAGCACTTGCTCCTCCAATGATTGGGCCAACCCAGAAAATCTGGAATACAAATCCAAGCCATTGCATTTGAAGCTCCTCTGAGGATTTTCACAGTGAAATTTGCAGCCTGTCGACCTGAATATTTACTTAACCATGTGGCATAAAACCAGGAATTTGTCGCCATGAGTTGGTGGTAGACCCAGAGGTGAATAACTGTGACTATGATGTCAAATTGTGATATTTAAAATCAGTTGCCTACTGCTAAAACATCTCTGCTACTCCAGATAGAGTTGGCAGGGGAGCATAATTTCTAAAATGACAGGGCATTAGTTTCTATTCTCCTATTAAATTCCAGTGATAGGTGAATTTGAAAGTAATAGTTAACAAGGACTTAATTAGGGGCTTAATTTACCCCTAGATGGTGCTTAGCTGGTGATATTGCTGTGACTGAACTGGCCTAACCACTTAAGAAATTAAAATTTAGAAGGACAGGTAGTAATAGGATTTTAGTAGACAAGTTGATTTTGTTAGAAATAACACAAGTTATTGAAGACTTTGCCAAAGCACTACCGAGTCTGGAAACTCTTTTATTCAGCAATATCAGTAGTTTAACACAAATTATTACATCTATCTTCTTCTGTCTCTACAAAGGATAATAATATTCCTATTAAATTCTGAAAATATCAGCTCCTCACTTAGTTACATCCCTATAGTGTCCTAACAATAGCATTCAAGTGGTAGACACTGCCAAAATTTTCCCAGTGTCCTCCTTTTTGTTTTACTCTTTAGATGAATTTGGAATCCATATCCAAAATTTTCACAACCCCATTGTATTACCACTAAATTTCCACCTCTGCCTATGCAACTGGCTGCCAAAATCGTAAGTAGGAGAGTTGGAACAAGCCCTATTTATATATTCCAGAACACAAGTTCATTACAACTTTATATCAGCCTTCTTTATTGAGCTTTGGTGAAATAAGTAACTTTTTGTGAAGCACCTCATTTTAACCACATTTAAACACAAGGAATAATCTAAAATTTACAGTGTTTCCACAGCACTTATCCTTGAAAACACATAAGCAGACACTCAGCTTTAAGATGCTGAACATTTTATTAGCTCTTAAATATTAGATGATCCATTCCAGTTTATAAACCTGCTTAAGAATCTTCCTAAATTAGATTTTACCAGATTAAGCAGTAGCACTTTACAAATTTAATTTAAACAATAAATACACAATACAAGATTCTGTGTAATAAGGCTTAAACAACTAAAATGTTTGAAATAAATAAATATAAAGGGGAATAACCAGACAAAATCTACTGTATTACTTTAAGTACAGAGACTGAATGAGCCTGAGGACTTTTTTTGCCTGAAGGTAGTCAGGATTTAAAGGAGAATATTCTTTGATAGATGAAATGAAAATACCAACTCTCCGACTTGGTCCTAATGATAGGTGTTGAAATGTTTCTGATCTCGTAGGTTATGTGTTTTCAGAGCCTCTTGAGAGTTAAACAAATTTACTCAACTTACCCAGTGATTTTCAAAGTTGTTGGCGATGAGCGCTGAGCCGAAAGATCTGGCTGGGTTAATTCCACAGCCAGTGTAATCAATCTAGGAGGTGGAAAGAGAACCACAGGTGAGGCACAGATGAAGCTTCCCCATCATCTCACTGGCCCACCCCAAGGTGGGACATAGCAGATATAACCTCTGAGGACTAAAACTTACAGCAAGAAGATGGCCCAAGGCAACGGAGAGCCCAATGGCCAAAGGTGCCGATCCCGAGACGTCGTTCCTTCTCCGGTCTGTGGTGGCCAGGACACACAGCACCAGCTGGAAGGTGGCGATGATTTCAATTCCCAGCCCTTGGCCTGCATTGATTCCCTCTGAAAGCTGCATGGAGGCAAGAAGGAAAAGGTTATTTCATATTCCTGCACGGCTTCAAGCAGTGTAACAAAGTTCTGAGGTGTCTAATTCCTCAATATGAACCTGAACATCCATTTGTCTCCTGGGGTTCCTTTTGATTAACAGGGGGAAAAAACAGGAAGAAAAAAAAAAGGTAGTTTTGAAACACTCCGTGCTGTACTCAAACCTAGGCATAAGCAGCTCTCTTTTTTGAGTGGTTGCTGCTTCCAGTCAAAGTGAACACTCAGCCACTGGGCACAGTGAGAGTGGAATTGATCTACATGTGAGAAACAAATCAGCCAGAGAGACACCTCCAGCAGAGTTTGCTTTACAGAAGTGAACTCTGGTGCTTTAGGACAGGCACTAATTTCTTCAGGGACTTCCACATTAAGATATTAATGTTCGACCTATACTGTGAATTAATTGCTTGAAAATATGCTTCTAATGCCACAGGAAATACCCCGAGATTTCCACAGAGTTCATGGGGGACTGGTAGATGTGACAGAAGACCAAAAGTACGTAAAACATCTCCAGATACTAATAGTTAGTCAATGTATGTCTCATTGCACAGATAATGGTGTAGTCAATGGAGATGAGATCCATTCACCTGATGAAACAAAGGAGATCATTTGAAAGCTCTATATTTTATTTTCTAATAGATCTCATGTTCCTACAAAGAGTTTAGACACCTAACTCACATCTGAACCACACTTTAGTGCCTTAGACTCAAAATGAAGCTCATTTCACTTCTTTGGGATACATTTAAAAAATCCCCAGTTAAGGAATCCCAAGGGGCTGATGGGAGTGCTTCCTACTGAAGTATGAGAGTTTCCTATTGAAGTAGACTACCTAGAAAAACTGAAACTGTCAGGGATAAATATTCCAATGGTATTATTAGTCATGAAATCACCACAGTTTCTTGTAAGTGCTGTAGAACATATTGAAACCCCGGGGACTCACATAAATGGACATTACAGAGTAGAAATGCTGTCATATTTCAGGAAATGCTGTCATATAATACTGCTAAAAACTTGTACCTTACAAAAAAACATGGAGGTAAACTATTTTATGTTATAACAAGTTTTGAGTTCTGCTTTTAATTGCTGTATTCAGTGGTGTCTCCATTAAGTCAAGGCAAGTCTGTTACTCAGCTGAATAACTTGATGTTAAGCAGAAATAATTCACTTGCATGGATGGGATGAAACATGAGCTTGGCCACAGGCCAGAGAACTGAGAATGTGACCCAGAGTAGGAAGCAAACTCTGCAAAACTTATATTAATTTGTGCTATCAGTGGGTTATCACATCTGTCAGAGCCCCTGCATTAAAAACTGCTGGGTCATTCATGGCAAAAAACATAATTACATGTTATTGTGACCTGTCCAGAACAATGAAAGCACGGGAAATCCTGCTATTAATCTGATTTTGTGGTATATGCCCTAATTTCCCCAAAGCTAATATTTGAAAAACCTTAAAACTTAAAGATGGTTAACTGAACTGTGCTTCACTTTCCACAGGTGCTATTCACATTTCTTGTTTCTTCTCTGTACCAAAGTTTAGTATCAAATTCCTAAGTAATGGAAAAAAGTAATTTGAGTCTTTACTTAGCATAAATCTGATTTTTAAATCCTGCTATTCTGAAACACTAATAATGTATTCTTATAGCTTGCTCTTTAACATGCAGGGGTGATATCCTCTGAGTTGGAAGTAGTTTATCCACAAATAGAAGGGAATTTTGGTTGAAAGGATGGGTATTTTGGTTCCTTCAGCATCCACAGAGTAGAAACTGAAATCCATTAATGAAACCTTCATGAGTATTAGGACTTACACGTGAGAAGTATGAGTCTGACATAAAGGCATCCATACAAGATGCACTGCAAATGGCAAGATCTAGAAATTCATCCTTGATATTTCTGAATTAATATTCTATTGCTTTTGTAAATTTTAAAAATAAACACTTTTTTTTCACTCTAGAGACAGTGGGATTCTTGTCTCTCAACAATTTAGGTTTCCAGTGCGTTTCCTTGTATCAAAACCAATTTAAGAACCTGGACTATAAACCCTCTGGAAAATCTAATCTCACATTTGGAAGGCCAAATGGCCAAACCTAAAAGCCAGGTGTCTTAGGAAGTAAGTGACTGATGTGCACATGCCCAAAAGGAGATAAGAAACCAAATTCTTTTCTATCATAATGCAACCCCAGAGAACCCAGAGCTGAGGTCTGACACATCAATGTTAGCATTTGACAAAGCCTTGACATTTTAAAAGATTAAACACTGCCCAACCATTGGGCTTTCTCTTCTCTTGAAGGGCTTCTATAAAAGAAAATAAGAGCAAAATTATTCTTTAAAAACCTGTCATAATCCTTATCTTTGAGAGGTGGAAATCATATTCTTCCTTTCCCTCCAGGAAAAACACATCCTACAGCTGACGTGACATGAGGTCATTCTCCCTGCTAATCAACACTTATTGATGGGCTGTGTGGGATCAAAGAAAACCTGGAAATATCATAGGAAACCTTTTGCTTTCCTCCAGCCATGTAATTTTACACAGCCTGCCAGAAACATTAAGATTCTACTGTGAGAGCAAGGACTCTGGGCTGTGCTCCAAAATGGGACAAACCCAGGCAAACCTTGGATGTCCTGCTCTGCTGGGGCCTGTGGATCTGCAGTGTGTAAGTGTAGAATAACAGAATATTTATTTGCCTCCTTATCAGAGATAAATTATCACTGCAGCAGCCTCCTGGGCCCTCCATGGTACACATGGAACAGCACCATCCCAAGCACACCCCAGGAAAGATTTATAAAGGGAAAATAGGAAGGTACATTCCTTTCTGTCAGGTTAAAATGTACATGTACAAGTGCATATTTCTATTATTTCTATTTCTATATATTTATATTTATATTATGTATATTTATATCATTTATATTTATATTTATATCATCCTCATTCGCAGAGGACTTGCAAGGCTAACCCAGATAACATTTTGCACCTTTTGAATCTGCTGGTTTAAGCTGTTGACAGAACCAAGGAGACACAAACATGGGTTTGTCATTCTTTGCTTGTATTTTTTTATATTATTCAGGTTTTTAAGGAAAGTTTGAACTTTTTGTGGAAGATTTTGTAGAATATCAGACTCCAGAAGCTTCAGTGTTGTCTAAAGCTTAATCTGAATTTAGTAGGAAGCAGTTCCACACATTAGAGACCTGACTGAAAATCAACAGCTGTTTTTAACATCTGCCATTCTGTTGCTTAGACTATCCAAAATAGAAGGTGTCCAATATCTCTGGTTCCTAAATAGACAAAATAATGCTCTGAAATGAGACACAGCCACTTCTAGTGCATTGTTGGAGTGAAGAGAACCCTTTCCAGTGACCTGTACCCACACTGCAAAGCCTTTTTCCCTGCACTGGTACCTCTTAGCAATGGTCATAGGGTATGTGGGCTGTCACTGCATCTGTCCTTGAGGCATCTGCTGGGAAATCTTTGACATCTTCTCTCTGCAGTCCAATAACCCTCATTAAGGTAACAGAAAAATTGTCAGAAGGCAGAGAACAGCATGGCAAGTCCCTGAGCTTTTCAGGCTTCAGACCTGAGGAATAGAGTCAGAGCTTTAAGGAACCAAACATGCTCTAAGGGGTTAAATGAAACACACAAGCATGGGCTTGTCCATATTCATCTCCAAGAGAGTCTACATAGACTTCTTTTCCTTTTTTGTTCTCATGAATAATTCCACTAAACTTCATTTCTAATGTCAGTGTTTTGACAGAAGAAGCACCAGAAACACACATAAGAAATGGGCTGAATCACTGGCAAGATGGGAGAGTTATCTGTGGACGCATTTATCTGATCAGCTGAATCAATCTTGGCTGCATCATCTTGCAGTGAGTAATTGCCCCTCGACCTCACAGCTCCCAGACAAGAAGCAGAACATGTAGACACCCCAAGGGAGGTGCATCCTCCTGTGAGCTGAATTCCATTTCCAGCTTCAACAAACCCATGATTAATATTTTTTCCTCTCAATTCACTGCAAATCTGAACAAGGTGATGGAATAAAAATCTACCAGAATTCAGTAAATGTACAGAAGTCACATCTTGAAAACTCCTGAGATGCAACTGATTGGAAACTAAGGAAGGACTGAAGGCACAGTGGCTCAAGAGACATTCAAATGAGGAGTGTAAAACCCCAAAAAATGTTATCTAGACATAAACATGAGGGCAATTAGCTGAGAGGAGCACCTGCTTTAGGTCTTAGGAAATGGGCAGTGGCCACATCGCTTCCAGCTCTCCGTAACATCACACAGGAGATGGGAACTACAGAATTTGTTTCCCAGAAGTGCCCTTAACTGCCATGTTTAGCTGAGTGACTCCCACAGCAACCATTTGGGCGAATTAATGGTGTGTTTTCTTTCCTTTTGATTTTTTTTTAAATTTTTTTTTTTTTAGGACAGGATATTTATGAGTTGTCCGCCTTCGGAAGAGAAATGGGGACAGGAAATTAAACTGGCCCAAGGTAAACCCCACAGTGTACTTCTCTAGTGGCTTCGTATTTTTCTCATTACCAGTGAAAGTATATCAAGTTCAAACCTGTTTCCCGTTATATGGATAAGACACTTTGTTATGCAAGGTGGTTCCATCACGTGGGGCTGAGCTCCATCTCATCCAACAAACCCTTAGCCCTGGATTGGAGCTTCCAGGGCCCAGCTTCCTTTCATATAACAGGGATTAGTTTCTCATTGCTTCAGAAAAAAATTTTAAAAAGAGGCCTCTGGTATTGCAAAAGTCTATTTTTTAGCAGGGGGAATGTCAGCTTTCCCAATTCTTACAAAATACCAGAGCAAGTCCAGTCTGCTGGTGTGGTTTTGAGGGAGAAAATTTAAGCCACAGCATTTTTAATGGCTGGGACTTCTCTTCCTTGCATATCCTCACCATCCTACATAAATTATTACCTTTTCTCTGCTTTGGCAGACATTTTTCTTAAAATTAACA